CAGATCTACAGGTTTATGTCTTGGGGCTTTGATGACCGTAAAGAATGAACTTTTTTTGGATTACAGGAGTTTGTGGACCGACTGAACCTGAAGCCTGGACAGAAGGTTCTGGATGTTGGCTGTGGCATCGGTGGTGGAGACTTCTACATGGCAAAGGTTAGAGCCAAGGAATCTGGTATAGTTAGAATGATACTAGTAATGATGATAGAGTGTTTTTTAGATATTGATTGAAAGGACCATAATGATGGAGTTGATTATGTCACGTTTCAGACCTTTGGAGCGGAAGTGCTCGGCCTGGACCTGTCAGACAACATGGTGGACATCGCCATGGAGAGGGCGATCGCTGAGAAGCTGCCATCAGTATGTCTAAATTTTGCATTATCCTAATGGTTTAAACCAGTAACTAACCAGATAGAACCAGTAATGGCATGTGCTCTACATCAGGTCCAGTTTGAGGTGGCTGATGCCACTAAGAGGACGTTCCCAGAAGGTTCCTTTGATGTGATCTACAGCAGAGACACAATCCTGCACATAGATGACAAACTAACACTCTTCAAGCGCTTCCATGTGAGAATTTTCTCATTAGTAGCAAAGTCTATATCTTGGAGAGGAAATCTGTTAAATCTTGCAATACACATACAAAAAGAAAAAAAGAAAGCTACCTTTTTATGTTGCATATTTCTTTGGGACATTTGTGTCTTTCTTGTGACTTTATCCAGACTCACTTTGCTGACTTACACTTTTATTCTCCTTCTTATTCTTTGTGCGCAGTCATGGTTAAAGCCCGGTGGCAAGTTGCTTATCAGTGATTACTGCTGCGGGGAGAAGCCCTGGACACCAGTGTTTGAGGCCTATGTCAAACAGAGAGGCTATGTCCTCTATACACCCTCACAGTATGGCAAGGTAAATATACAGTAGAGCCTAATTATCTAATAGTTTGTGAAAGGACATATGGGGAGTTCAACCCTTTTGTCCTCTTTACCAATATGTAATGAGAGGGTTGGCACACAAATTATTGCTGAGTCTGTGGTACACTGGTACTGGTACAGTGTCACAGTGTTCTTCTTTACTATCTTTATTTGTGTCCATGCATTTTATAACTAAAGTAAATAAGTAAATGTAATATGTAATTATGGCAAATTGTTTTTGTGGCAATAAAATGGCCAAGCTGCATCCACCAAGATTAGGTCAACACACATTGTATATCCCAAGCCCCTATTTGTGTTTGATTCCTGAGGATTACATGAATTTGCCGGAATATGAAAGATTAGAATATAGTCCATCACATCATCATATCTGCTTTTATTTATTTTTTTATCAAAAAATGTGTTAAAGATGTGTGATAATGCAATTTTCAAATCGACAATAAGGAAACTATAAATGCATAAATTATGTTAATTTGGATGGATTACTGAAATGTTTTGTACGCAATGAGGGAACACTGCAGCATGCTTCAAACTGTGGAAAAGTTGTCCCCCATCTCTTTATCTCTCTTGTCTGCTCTACTGGCAGCTATCTAATAAAGGCACAAAATACCGAAAAAGGAAAAAAAAAAATTTTGTTTTAGTAAATGAGCTTACACACAATATAATGAGTATCTTTCTGTAACTGTTTACTGTAACTCCTGTGTACATAATACAAGTTCACAGAAACCATTGCAGCGAGAAAGATCTTCTGATGTTAAAAATTGCATATGGGTTTGCAGTGGCCAAAGCAGAAGTGAATATTTTGTGAAACAGCTAGCTATAAATGTTGAGAAGAAAGTGTTCTCCTGTACAGGAAGCCCAAATGCACAGATGTTGTGGCTGCGTGCTCTGTGGATGTGATACTAATGTATTACTGCTGTCCAACAGCTGGTGGTGCTGTTCTCACTTTACTTCACCTGTGCATGTCTGTTCTCCTGTAGTTCCTTGAAGAAGCTGGTTTTTGCAATGTTTCGGCAGAAGACCGGACAGCCCAGTTCATCCAGGTGATTGAGACAGAGCTGCAGAGAGCGGAGGCCATCAAAGATGAATTCATAGAGGTTAGCACGCACACACGCACTCAAAATCACAAGGTTTAAATCGAGCAATATCAGAATTCCTTCCTAATTTTTTTTGGATGACTGCTTGCTTCTCTGTGCCCTGCAGGAATTCTCTGAAGAGGACTATTTTGCTATTGTAAATGGATGGAGAGAAAAACTGGGACGTTCCAACAGTGGAGATCAAAGATGGGGACTCTTTTATGCGACAAGGGATTGAGAAATAATAAAAAACAATAAAAGAAAAAAAGGAATGCCTCTTTCCTTATTGTCTATGCTTTTGTCTTTGATGAATTGCTTGGGATTTATTAAACCTGTTAAGGATTACAATTTGAGAAGAAAACATGCGGTAGTTTATTGAACCTAAAAGTTTTAGCATTATATTTAAAGTGAAAGAATGTGCTGAGCGAGCAATTTAAGAAAAACAACTCAAAAGTATTAGCAGCAAGGTAAGTTACTCATTAAGTAGTAAAATGGTCAGTGTTTTACTATGTGATGTTTTTGGATTAATATTACTGCTGCATTAATGTGTATGTTGCATTTTATATGGACTTATACATATATATATATACATACAAGATTTGTATCACAGTGCAGCTTTTTAAGAGTAAAATTTCAGGGTGCCTAAACTAAAAACTATATGACTATACTACAAATGCAATCTATTGTCACTTTGTGTGTTTTACCAGCTGTTCATATACTTTGATGGTAGGTTTTGATCATGATTATTAAATGCTTGGTAATTTCCAGAGTGAGGGATCCAAATTAGCTACAGAAGACGAGTGAACATGCCAGGAGACAACAAATACGATGGGATCTTTTCATTTCAATGACTCAATTTCATGAAACAACACAGTAGTTGGAAAGCAGGGTGATGATCAGACTGGTCAAATCAACAAATGAGCAGAGCTGAGTGAGGTATCCAGGGTGCGAATTACTGAATGCTTCTTTGCAACTTCACTAGTACGCATTTGTCCTGCAGTAATATTCCTATAGCCAATAGCAGCCTGCCAGCACAGTCAAAGCTACAAAACCTGTCCGACTCATACTTTGCCTCGAGTTATTCAGACCCCCTCCACCCCCTGCCAATTTGTTTAGGAAGTGAAAGAGAGTCCCCTAACAAAGTGAACAACATCTCTGACCAAGCAGGCTGCTCCTCTTTCACATAAATAAACTATCACACCTGTGGAACACAGTGAGCTCATGAAGTGTCGACTTATCTCATCCGCAATCTGCAGTTAACACATTCATTAGCTTATGTTAGCTAAATTTAGAGAGCTATAGCATATAGTATAAGTGACATTACTGAGGCAGTTCACTGACTCTTCTCTACTTACATTACCATTACACATTGTCTTAACATTTATCATCCTCCCATTACTGCCAGCTGTGGTCACAGCAGCTGCTGGCATGGGAAGAAGTTACATAGGTTACTAAAATAGACCGCCATACAAAAGCAGGTCCATCATGGCCTTTCTGATGAGGCATAAAAAACAGGGAACTACTGCCTCATTAAATTTAATTTACAGCTATAATGTGCCTCTTTATACTATTTCCACTATTTTTTACAGCTTTTTTTAAGCTGAGCCTTCAGCCATGGTGACAGGCTTGAAAGATGTGGGCTCTCCCTTGTCTTCTTGTTCAAAATATATCAGGAAATCAATATAAGACTGGAGGCTGGCGAGCTAGACAGCTTCTTCAAGTTAAGTCGTGAGGATATTTACGATTATTACGATAATTGAGATTCACCCCAATGAATTTATCATGATACACGATAATATTGTATATTGAGCCATCCCTACACAGCAGTCAGTTACAGAAAACAGTAACTGGGGGGGGGGCACTGAGGCACAAAAAAACAACACCAAAGCTAAACTGGTTTAAACAGTGCAAGCTCTTATAGCATGTTGTCTACATGTCACAGTTGGCGTCTGTACAGATTCCTTTAGGCAGTCCGCTATGTAGAAGCCATCAGCCTGATTGGCAAGCATTGCTGGAGTGTGACATGTTCCTCTGACGGCAGAGGCAGTCCTACCTCAGGCCTAACAGTTGTTGAAGCATTACAAGACTATTGTCATTTTCACTGACAAAATTTCACAATCAAAGTGAGTCAACATGCTGCTTGACAAGATGCACTTTATGTTCGCCATGATGTACCTATCCAAACATTCCTGTCTGTGCAGCTTTGCAGTAGTGAACAGTTGGATGTTTGAGCTTCACTGTGCAGAACGATTCACCTGCTGGAAGTGGAAAGCTTTCTGTGCTCACTGAAAATCTGATTTAATAGTTTGGAAGTCAATCCTGGTCCAGTATGCAAGTTGAAGCCACCAGTGCACATACACTGAGAATGGAGTTTACATTGAAGTAGGAGACATCTTGTGTCCAGCAGGAAAACTTTAGATAGAGTGAACATGCATATTAATAGATTCTTTAATCAGGTAGAAGGAGTAGTTTACGGAAAACACACACACACACACACACACACACACACACATTACAGTTTCAACCACACTATCTGCAGTCGATATAGGTCCTAATATGTCTAGAGGGGGGTCTTTAAGGCAACGTTCAGTCATTGCGACAAACATACATGATTGATACATGGTGGTTTCCGTTTTTTATTCTAATTTTCCCACAATTACTCTCATTTAATTAATCTGTTCTTTACATATATAGCCTACTTTACTGACGCTTCTATAAGCGATAGGCTGCTCTAACAGCACCGTAAAGGGGGGACCTGTCTTATCACACATGGCTTCAGATGAACACACAGCACTCACAGACAATGAGAGAGAGAGAGAGAGAGAGAGAGAGAGAGAGAGTTAGGCCCTTAAAATAAAAATGTAAAAAAGTTGGGCAAAAAAACTCGTGAATCCTCTTTCAGACTGTGTATTCCTGTGGGCCTGTGGATTCCTCCGCTTACATCTCTGAGCTGACTTCCTTTGACAGCGCGGCCCGGAGGACGCTACGCCCATCGCGTGTGTCTTGTTACGTGTGTGCGCGCAGGCAAACAGCCACCACAGGAGGCAAAACACTCAGTCGCAAAACATGGCGAGGTTAAGCGAGCATGGGATTCGCCTCAGTTCCGTATGTATTTCACTTTTTCTCTTCATACCGAAGCAGGACGCGTATTATTCTACGTAATATTAATTTGAAAAGAGGACTTTAGCCCCGCCGGGGCAGCACAAGAATGACAGCTGACTCTGAATTTTTACTTTTTGTTTCTTTTCTAGATGAGTCCTTCCTTCCTGAACAGCAACTCTACGAGTCATACCTGGCCCTTCAGCGCGGTGGCGGAGTTAATAGGTAGGTGGCATTGTGAAGTGTAACGCTGTAAGTGCTGTGCACCTGCTGCCGGTGCGCTCTCTTACTTGTTGCAACTTCTTTTCGTGGTTTTTCTTTTTCATGCACTCTTCCGCTGTTGCACTGCGCTGTGTGTTGAACAGACACTTTGTGTTGGTGCTAAATTGGACCGAATGGACTTCCTCTTTCACACCCTCAACGATTGTATGACTGCTGCACGGCCTCACATAATGCCTGCCAGTGTCTGCCGACTGCAGGATATCAAGAGTGCCAATAAGTGTGTTAATACAAGTGAGCTTATTGCCATGTAAGTTGTTATAAATAGTAATAATATAGGCTATTACTAAAATTCTAGTAGGGACTCTCTTTAAAGGTGCTCAACTATTATCATATGTGAAATAAACATTGCTCTTTGTCATATACATGTGTGTGTGTTAAAAGGTACAGTCTGGACCAGAACAGCATATAAATCACTTTATTATTTGTCCCTCCACGTGATGAACCTTCTGTCTCTGTGCTGTCAACATTGCCATTCCTCCACTGTGTGCTCTCTGATTGGTGCAGACGTGCTGGCCGTCTGTTGGTTGCAGGGACACCAGTGGGAGTGAACTGTGTGAATGCAGATGTACTCTTGCCACAGCTTTTCTCTCTGCTCATGTCGCCTGTGCTTACCCTGTGTTGAGAGTGTCAGAGCTGTTGAGATATTAGATATGCGATAAGAACTTTACTGGTGTCAAACAAGGGAAGTAAAAGGGTCACACCAGCAATGTGTAAAAACAGATGCATGGGAAAGATTAGAGAAGTGAACTAAAGCTATTAGCATGTTTTGTCCCAATGCATATAGGCTACAGCATGGGACTACAGTTCCTGTATGTTATCAGCTGACTCTTCCTTTAATATCATATAATCTGTTATAGTGTATTTATAGGGAGTTTGCAGTCACCTTATCATACTTTCATATACATTTATCTATATTTCTTTGACTATCTCTGCAGGATTCCGCATCATGTTGTTTATGAGAAGACATTTTGACATGTCTCAGTTGGAAAAGCACTGGTGTAATGGCATTTATGATGGCTGAATTCCATTTAGCTGCTTCAGTTTCAGGGTCTTGGCATTGTGCTGTAACAGTAGCATGACTTACTGGGACGTGACTGATTCATTGAAAATATCTGGTTTTATACAACCTGGGTATTATTTTCATCCTTCTGATTGGTAATAATGAAATTGTTCTCAATAAGTCAATTGCTGATATCTGGGAATGTGACGATGTTGCTAAAACAGCCGGATGGGGCGAGAAACTGACCATTCCCACTAATTGTGAATCATATCTCAATCATAATATCTGTTTCCAGTGCTTTTAATGAAACCGTCTCAATTAAATACTGCTCCCTCTATGACCTACATAAGCGCACGTGCCGGCACCGTCAGCAAGAAGATTGGCTACTATAGATCAGATCAGATCTATCAGATTCCCCTTGAAATCAATGAAACAAGACAGTGTAAACAGTACCGCTTTCGACCACAGAGGCCTTCAGAATCAACATAATGAAACGTACATGTTGCTGCTTTAATTTAGCTTGTTATTGTGCTGCTATTCATGTAATGGGTCCAACACAGTTGTGCAACATCACAGTTTAAATTCCAACTTTCTGATTCAGCTGTGAACTACTATACTTATTGTTTGTGTGTACACAAACAGTTCAAATGTTTCTGATGATTTGGCTGAACTGTCAGCTAATCTGGTTCCCAGGACTCAGTAGTCACTTTACTTAGTACAATGTTTCCTAGAAAACCTTGTTTTTTCACATGTCTTTAAAATAGCTGATTCATGCTTGAATGCCTAGATGCATGTCTTCCTTCCACTTGTGGACCACCTAGCAGCAACTGAACCAGTATAAATCCTTGAAAGACCGTGGAGGAGAGAAACTCTCCCTTGTTGTTGTTGTTAATTCATTTCTTTCTCTCATGTTGTAGACAATGCGTCAGATCCTGGTGTATCCGCTAAACAGTTCTGGATAGATGTAGTTGAGGAGGCCAGTCACCTCTGTCTAACCTTCACTGACAATGGCAGTGGAATGACGCCGAATAAACTGCACAAGATGCTCAGGTAAGACACACACGAACTGTGAAGGAAAAATACATTTCAATAGCATGGTGCAGGAGAAATGTGATCATTCACACCAATAGTGTTCCTCTCTTCCGTGTTTAAACCACAAAGAGTGACTCACCAGCATTTTTAGACTACGTTTTGTAGCTGGTGTCTTTTTCCCATAGCACACATTCTCAGACAGAAATAAGCAATATCAATACAGCGTTGTCTCTGGATATTTTCACTTTTTCTGACATTTGATAGTCTAAGTGACTGTTTATAAATGATGACATGAACATGATTTCCTCACTCTCCCCTTCACCCTTATGTCCAGCTTTGGTTTTACAGAAAAGGGTTCCGGTAAGGCCAGCCAGCAAGCCATCGGCGTGTATGGGAACGGTTTCAAGTCTGGCTCCATGCGTCTGGGTCGCGATGCGCTCATCTTCACCAAGAACGGCGGCTGCCAGACTGTGGGAATGCTGTCTCAGACCTACCTGGAAAACATCAAGGCCCAGGCCGTCATTGTCCCCATTGTCCCCTTCAACCAACAAACCAATATCCTTCATGAAACAAGAGGGCATGGGAAGGAAAAAAATAATATAATGTGTGTTTTTGTGTGTGTTTTTTATGATTTCAACAAGATTTTATTGACTTAAATGCAAATAGGCTTGAAAAAGGAGGTGATGGCTGTGTAATTCAAGGAAAATAAGATTGTTTCTTCACTCCTTACTCATTGTTAGAGAATATGTTTGTCACTTTGCAAGCTCCTTAAGATAAGATAAGATAAGATGTTCCTTTATTGATCCCCCTTTGGAGAAAATCAAGAAATGTCCTGACCTTAACTCAGTGTTACAATCTCTGGTGATGACGGAGGACTCGGAGGCCAGCCTGGCAGCAATCCTTCAAAACTCCATTGTCACCTCCCAGGAGCTGATACATGCGCACTTTGACTCCATTCCCTCCAAAAAAGGCACAAAGATATTAATCTGGAACATCCGCAGGTCAGAATCACACATTTGCTCATGCTGATTTTAAATTGATTTAAATAATGAGAGATTTTTAGTTTAACATTTTGTGAACTACGTATAGCTAAACATATTGAGGGTAGGTCTGATGTACAGCATGTGAGAGTATGCAAACACAGACTCAAACAGAAAGGCAAATAAGGATGAACACACACACACACACACACACACACACACAAACAATATTTGTTTAAGCATGCCTTTAAACAAATTCATGCAAAATAATGCACATTCAAAGATAGGCCATCAGAGCAGAGACAATTTTTAAGATTTGATGGCCATAATTCTTGTGGCTTTTTGAAACAAAGCTCTCCAGACTATAATCACCGCTAAGAGAAACGGTTCGTGTTCTGTTGTATTTCACTTCCTCTTTACGTTGGAGTCAGAAAAGGGTCTCCACTATGATCATTATCAGCAAATACTAAGTACTGCACTGCACATTATAAACCTATTTGTGTAGCTTTAAAACTAGAACGTCTGCTATATAATTTCTGTTAAAAAACTATTATATACTATAATAACTATACTATACTAGGCTGTAATATTAAGCGTGTCATTACCTGTTTTAACACCTGCTCCCTTTGACGTTATCCTAAAGGGCCAAAGATGGCAAGCCAGAGATTGACTTTGAGACCGACCGAAGTGACTTCCGTTTGCCCTCGATTCAGATTGAGGAGCTGAAGAAGGGTCTGAGGAGCAGTGGATCCCTGAGAGCCGAACAGAGCATCCCAGAAATGCACTACAGTCTGAAGGTGAGTGGAGAGAAAGTATGTCACTACAAACAGATGGGACAGTGGAGGTATTATAAGTGATGGTATTTAGGAAATTTCCGTCACTCAGAGAGGTTGTCACTACACGTCCCTTCTCCCCTGACAATCCTGCTGTGCATGCATTTACTCTCTTTCTTCACCAAGGAGGATATGAGGATGTATGACCTGCTATTGCAAGAATGTCTGACACTTTTGGTGATAGTCTTGTGTGTTTGTGGTAATTATAGTTGGCTATATCATAGCAGTACTGGTACAGCAATTTAATATAGTGTATAATTATAGTTAATGATTGCACTGCTGTTGAGCCATGTGAGACACTCGACACCCGTCATTAAAGGCAGGTTCACTGCCAACACAAGGTCCATTCAGTAGCTGTTCTGGAGCTTTCAGTCATACCGCAGGATCTCCATCTGCAGATGGAGTTTGCCCAGTGGAGTTGTACATGGTCATATTTTCATGTTTCAGAGCAGTCCTCATCCATGTGGACATGGGACTAAAAGTACCGATTAGCACATGGTCCATTTAGTGCTGGAGCTGTTCTGGAGCTTTCAATTGCAATACAGCATCTTTCATGTAAGGCTGATTTAAGGTTGATGGTTAAGATGAGGCTTAGAGCAGAATTGACGGTAAGACCTTTAGTGGTTGTGGTTAAGGTTGGGTAAACCCCCTACAATACATAGCAAAAGCCCTGTCAAATGTACATGTGCCATGTTCAAGCACAAAGTGGAGTATTGTACGGATTCACTACTCAAGACGTAGCTGTGGTTTTGTAGTAACAATGCCCCAGTTTCTTTTTAAAGCCCTGTTCAAACTGGTGGTGGTTTTGTAAATCCCATATCTACTTTGACAATCTTAGAATCAAGAATATTAAGTTTGAGTATTAAAAGCTTAAATAATGTACCTCTAGGCTAATATATAAAAATGTTGATGAAGTGGCGCCCGGTTGGCTCAGTGGGTAGAGCTGGCGACCCGTGTACCGGGGCTGAGTCCTTGCTGCAGCGGCCCAGGGTTCGAGTCCGACCTGCGGCCCTTTGCTGCGTGTCATCCCCTCTCTCTGTCCCCCTTTCCTGTCTATCTTCAGCTGTTTGTATCATAAAGGCAATAAAAGCCCCCAAAAATACTTAATAAAAAATGTTTATGAAGAGTATAAACAGATGGTGTAAATTTAAAATGTCTGACCTTCTTACACTTTATTTCTGTCTGTTTCTTTGTCCGTCTCAGGCCTATCTCAGTATCTTGTATCTGAAGCCGAGGACACAGATAATACTGAGAGGGAAGAAGAATCTGGCTAAACTAGTGTCGAAGAGGCTTACACATATTGAGCATGACGTGTACAAACCCCACTTCAGTGTATCCTTGTTTGTTTGTTTACTTGTGTGTGTATGGATGGTGCTATAAAGGTGGGTCAGATTACTCTGAAATGTAGTCAGTTACCGAATACAAATTACAATTTTTATTATTAGTAAAATAATTATGTGTAAATTCCAAACACAAATTGTTGTTGGTTATTAGCCGAGCCTGTCGATCATTCAGAGGATGTGTGGGATTGTGAACACATTGCAAAATAGAATAAAGAGAGATTTTCCCCATTTCTTTATCAAGATCTTTACATGTAGTCAGTTACTACCTTACACTGTATAAAGCCAAGTTATTGTGTCTATATTTGAGCCTATATTCCGATGCAAACAAGAAGTTGGAAGTTAGTTACTTTGAATGTTTTTCTGGGATCTGATAAGGTAATTAACAGTGTTAAAGGTTTTACCAACGACACCCAGTCATACTTATTTTATATATTTTACTTCTCAAGTTGGGTTTCCAGACATAAATCACATAATAAAAACAGTGCTAGTGAGCTGTTGCTTGATTATGAGATGCCAATGAATACTACTGCTTCTGTTCACCACTGATATCTTGAGCTTGCAAAAAAATTGCATTTCCTGATATTATTTTGAAACCTGCCAGTGTACATTTGTGCTATGAACCTTGACTTTGGTCTCTCAGAAAGAGAAGGTGAAGGTGACCTTCGGGATGAGCCCGAAAAACAAAGACCACTATGGCATCATGATGTACCACAAGAACCGACTCATCAAAGCCTACGAGAAAGTGGGCTGCCAGCTGAAGGTAAAGGAAAAGGATTTTACTGTATGACTTCATGCATGACAATCACAGTACCGACCTCCGCTTAAATCTCCCTTCCCAATGTCTTACAGACTTCAGGTCAAAGGGCAGGGGTCGGGGTCATCGGGGTCATCGAGTGTAACTTTCTCAAACCTGCTCACAACAAGCAAGACTTTGAATACACCAAAGAATACAGGTAAAACACACACACACACACACACACAAAACCAACAAAATCAGACACGCTAGCTGCTTAGCTTAATGATTCACACACAGCAGATAAGGGCAGAAAATGTGTTTTGGATCAGGGAAGCTGATCACAACCGAAACCTTGCTATTGACACAGTACCTCCAGTGAGACAGACCTGTCATGAAATATATGCGTACTCTACCCTTATTTGTCTTTATGATATTTGTAAAAACTGTTTAAGAAATTCACAGTTTTTTTCCTTTTTCTTCTCCAAAGACTCACCCTCGGTGCTTTGGGCCTAAAGCTCAACGACTACTGGAGAGAGGTGACGGAGAAGAAGGCCAGAGAGCGAGAGTTTCAGGCTCTAGACAGAGACGATAGCGAAGAGGAGCCTGAAGATGCAGAGTGAGTGTCCATTGTTTTTCCTGACAGTATTAGTGCCAGTAGAGAAAATTCTTCATAACTTGGCTCCAAAATATGTGAAAGGTGCATAAAATCAAATTATTAATAAATATAATTTTTTTTGTTTGTTTTTTTTAATATATAAGTATACGTATTTTCAGCAGCAGTAGTAATAAGTGTTCAATTTGTCTACTACTGAAAGAGGATTTTGGTGTTGGCCCTAATCTGTCCCCCACGCTGTTAAAACCACTGAGAGAGTGAAAATAACCATGTTCTGAAGTCCATGTTCTACAAGCCTTTTATGGATAATGACAGTAAAAGTTCAGGAGGATGCAGGTCACTTGCTCTCATGTCGGAACTTTCGAGTTAAACTGAAAGTGAAAATAGGTTTTTATTTTCCCCAAAGCTTGAAACCAGAGAATTGAGACGCTACCTCTGCATCGGCTCTCTTGAACTTAAACATGCTCAGGCAGGGAACTTTAAGACCTTTTATTAATGACTTTTATCTTGTGCGTAGCTTTTGAACAGGCACGTTCATGTTCATGTTCACTGACTCAAAAACATAATTTGAAAATAATTCTAATAATTATTTTTGTAAATGGACTCCTGCTTGCTGACAGTTCTCATACCTGTGTGTCTGTATTTACAGGACTCCCATATGGTTACAGTGTGAAGAGTGCCTGAAGTGGCGAAGCATCCCTGCAAGTCATTACAACGAGGTTCCTGAAACTTGGAATTGCAGTCAGAACCCCAATCCACGTTACAAGTGTGTATTTGAAATTATTACTTTCCTGCATTATTTTCTTCAGTAACAGGCACAGTTTTTGGGCACTTTTTACGTGTTCAACTCCATTATGATCAGAGGTATTATAGCAGTGTCACATTGGTTTGATTGTTGAAAATAAATTATTTATCATTGTTTTATGGACTGCCAACAGTCATGGCCATGCAAGCTCCTTTAAAGTCAGCAAAATCTGACACACTGACCCTGTTCATACTCTTTCTGTCAGCCAGTATTGATTGCAAGATCTGCTCTTTACGATCCAAAAGTCAAGCAGCAGAAGTTAAGTGACAACGTGCGATTGCTAGCAGCCCAATTTTGGGTGAACTCAATATGCAAGGACGCTTATCCTTTGCTGGACAGGCCACTTTCAAAAAAACAAAATGGGGCATACATTAAAGGTATAACCACTTCTTTAGGCATGAGTACATCACAGCTTAACAAGCTAAAATAATGCACGCTCACATCTCTGATTGATTTGTAAGACGTGAAACCTTACTACTTAAAGCTGTGACCTACCGCTGAAGATATCTAGGTGCGCTTTAACCAACAGAGGAGGACTGTGTGTGTGTGTGTGTGTAGGTGTGGGAGTGTGTGTGTGTATGTGTGTGTGTGGTCGCTGTAACAGGAAGTCCCTGAGCTTAACTTTAGCTGTAGCTGAGTTGCTAAGCCAGATCTCTTTGTTTTTCAGAAACTGCTCCTCACCAGAGGAAGCAGAAGACAGCGAGGAGCTGTTAACACCCAGCTACCAGAAGAACCACAAGAAGCAGTAAATTCCCACTTCTCTCAACCTCTCAAACTCTGTGTGTGTGTGTGTGTGTCTGTGTGTGTGACAGAGAGAGAACTTGTAACTGGACGTTTCACACTGCTGCTCTTCCTGGCTGCCTGTATGTGTATCTGTGGGTTTACATGCCATTTTGTGGTTTCCATCTGGCAGTTTCACGCTCTTATTTCCGGTGGTTGTCCACGTGACTGTGTGTATTGTAGGTCTGACAAACAGAGAAAAGTCTAGTTTTCTAGATGTAGTCTGCCTGATAGTGATCGACACAGGACTGACGCTGTAAAGAGAAAGCAGTCAGTCCTTCTAAACATGGCGCCATATTAATCATAACACCTAATATGAGAATTACTTTGTGTGGCTTATTAGTAGTTTCAATCATCAAATTAGTTGACTAGTTTAGATAGCTACTGTTTATCTGACAGGTAAATTACCTAAAATTGATTGTTGAGCACATAATAGATTTTGATTTGCTCTAATTAAATTACTATTTGCAAGAGAAAAAAGTATTTACAAAATATAATTTATAATACTATGTATAATAACACATACGGGTTGGGCAATATGGTCAAATTTTTTCAACTGGCCACTATCAGTCCAACACTTGGCGACTGCCAATATTTTCGCCCATGTGTGTGTGCTACACCAGCGCCCTCCGACCCCCACCAATCACCACCCTGGGAGATGATGAGATGATAAGAATGTTTGCTTATACGCAGGAAGCTCTCATAGCTTTAATAAACAAAATAAACTAACAAAATGTCAAGAAAGGGAAAGAAAAACACCAGCTTTCCTCATTAAAAAGAAAACGACAACCGTACACTTTATAAATTCCAGTTTCTGTCTTATACCAAACTAAGACCTTGTTAAGCAATCTTAAACACACTTTACTCAAACTCGACAGAAACTAAATAAAACTCACCAAACCGTCTTTATTAGCCTTCCCAGTGTTGCCACAATCACCCACTCTGGTGTCTAACCATCTCTCACACAAATGCAGTGCTTTGCCAGGTATTGTTATATTGTTGTCTCAGAATAATCACAGAGATTAATCATGAAATATGTCAAAGCGAGCCTTGGAAACAATCACCTTTTTAGAGTTAAACCTCACCATATTTTGAGTGTCTGCCCCACTCTAACTTAAAATCTCTGTTTCTTTGTTTTTCCTGCAGAGAACATCCCAAAAGCAGAAAACGGGAAAAATCACTGGAGGTCTGTGAAAAGTTAAAAAACTTTAGGCAACTTTCCTTTTGATAAAAGTACTGTTTGGCTGCACTACATCTCGATATATTGTGTGTGTACTTTAAGTGCGCTGTGCTCTGTTTGTGTTGCAGGTGTGTGCGTTCCAGGACCAAGTGACTAAACATCAAATCCTTTCACGCAGTTCATCAGAGCCAAGCCAACCCACCTTCCAAACCACACACACACCTCACCACATGAGAACAGCAGATCAATGCCTCACGGAGACAAACACAGATTATTATAAAGACACACACACAAATGATGACAGTACAGCTGAAGTCACACACACGCAACAAAAGCTCACTGAAAGAGACACAGTCATTAAAGACAAGACACAAGTGCATGTGGAAAATGAGACAAATGATCACAGCCTTGACAGTGAAAAGAGAAACAGAAATAAAGACACAAACATGGAGCCGATGGAAAGAGGGGAAGAGAACATAGACACATTAAGGTAGAGTATATTGCATGTGTTTTTCTTCCTTTAGTGACTGTTTGATCATTTATTTCAGTTCCCGATGAAGAACGTGCAGCGACTTCATGATGAAGTTGTGTTGTCAGAGTAGGATAAAAGACACAAAAACCTATAGGATAGAGACAGCTGTAGATAGACAGGAAAGGTGGGTAGAGAGAGAGAGGACGACACACAGCAAAGGGCCGCAGGTCAGACTCGAACCCGGGCCGCTGTAGCAGCTTCGTATATGGGTCACCAGCTCTACCGACTGAGCTAATCGGGCCCCCAAGACACATAAACCTTTGAGACTGAAGGGATTGCTGGCAGTTTACTACCACAGATATCATATTAAACATTTAAGTTACTACACTATGTCAGTGTTTGGTTATTATTAGTCTGGTGGGTGATTTGTAATTTTCAAATCTCTCATGTGAAAATGTCCTCTTCAACAACCATAGTCAGTGCTGTAGTCAAGACCACCCAAAAATAAAGAAATAAGTAAAAAGAAAGACCACCTTTGTCGAGTCCAAAACCAGGGCTAGTCGAGACCGAGTCAATAGCAAGTCCAAATGAGAGAGACAGAAAAAATAATGCTTTTGCCATTTGCAGTGAGATGAGATTTGGCTGCCTGGTAACCATGGTTAGGAAACCAGGTAACCATGGTTACCAGGTAGCCAATGTCAATGTCTGTTCTAGATAGATTTTTAAATTAAACCAATACCTGTTTTCTGAACAAGCGTGCTTTACCAATGGTTTTGTTTTGAAGGAGGAAGTTAATTCAGCAAAGACAAAAACATATATTGCTGAACTCAGTCCAGACCAACTAGAATGTTTGGCAAGACCAATGACCATGTCTGAGACCAAGTCACATACCAACAAGTCCAAGACAAGTTTGAGACAACAGAAAAAAGTCCCAGGTCTGGGCTCTGAAACTCGAGTATTACAGCTGTCAGCATTGAGCCAAACGACTGGAGGACGGTGCTCCAGTAGATGTAAAAAGACAATGTGATAGGCCAGTTAGTAAGAGCTGGTCTAGAGGCAGAGTGAATAAATCATTTTGAAAAATTAACATGATTAAGAGTCAGTGAGTCCTGGGTGAGGTACCATCTGTGCATCATTGTCAGCCATAAAAACCCTGGCACCAACATGGAGAATAGTCAGATCTGTATAATAATACCTTTGACAACAACTGTCTCAAGGATTGTTGGATGTTCACAGTACTGAATTTTAAACAAACTGACTAGCTTTTGTTCTCTGTAGTCTCAAAAGGAAATCAGGATCATTATTTTACTGTGTGAAAAAGAAGCCATGTCTTTGGGAGAAGCCACAGCCTGAGTTAGAAAATGTGGCAGAGGAGCTGAATCCTGAGAAACAAACGCCGTCCTCTGAGAAGACCAAGCAGGACAGCAGCAGCCAGATAGAGAAACCGGGTGACACGGCTCAGCGATTCCTCACCAACCTCACCTGGACCCACTCACTGCCCTCCACCCAGACTGTGATGGTGTCTCCACTGAGCCGGACAGAAGGGCCGCGGAGCAGACCGCTACCTCCAGAGAGGAGTGACCGGGAAGCTAACGTGCAGAAGCTTGCTGGGTTGGAGAAAGAGACCCAGAGGCTACGGAGGCTTCTAGGTCTGGAAATCACAAAGACCACTCAAGGCACGATGACGGCTGCTGATAGCAGCGCTGAGAAGGCAAACGAAGGGCAGGTGACGCTGCCAGCATCCATAGCCAGGAGAGATGTTGCGTGCCAGACTGACGTGGCTGAGGTCAGCAGAGTTTATACCCCAGGTTTTAGTTCATAATAATGGCAGTAAATTCCTAAACTCAATGTAAATTGTATGTTAAAACATATTTATTTTCTTTGAAGCAGTTTAGCCACACATACATTATCTCATAGTACCTTTTAGTTGATGCATTGTAATATTGTCAAGGGCAGGACTTTGTGTGTCAGTTTTCATTCAAATTGTTACTGCCTCTATATGACCAACATAAGCACACAAGATTGATTATTTCTATGTAGTTATATTGCTAGTAGGATTCCCCATGTACTCAATGACACTGCCGCTTTTGTCCACAGGGGCTGCCAGAATCAACAACAAAAAAAAAAGTTCCTTGTTGCTGCTTTAATTAGACAATATGGAAAAGTTGACTAACAGAGCTCAGGTGCTCTGTTTGGTATATTGAAATCAGTGCTTTACTGAGATTTAAATGCTTTATTTTCTCCATTACAAGCTGTGCGAGGGTTAGTGAGAGCTGGCAACAGTAATGTGACCTGAATTATCTATCTGTCTACCAAGACAATCACATGTAAGCAAGGTGCTTGAAACAGAAAGTGCCAATTTGACCTCCAATGAGGATCTAACAACAAACTTTAATCTTCTGTCCTCCGTCTGCATCAGAGCTCTACTTCATCCAGCAGCCGGGACCAGGCTCCTGGACTTCAGGGGATGGTGGTCCAGGATCAGAGAGCCGTGTGCGGGCCGAAGGAGCAGCCTGAGCAGAACAGACCGAGGAGGGAGAAGACAGAAACTCAGAGCAGGAGGAGAGCCAGTGACGGCGAGGCCTGTGAAGACAGCGGGTGTGTATTGTACACAGACATGACAAACAGTTGTTTTCAGATATAAACATCTGTCTCTATATACCTACAGTATAAAGTTAGTTCCTGTAGCTGGCAGGATTACATTTGTGTGCAGGGGTGTGAATGTTTCTACAGAATTTAACAGATAAACCAATCCAAACAATCTTAGTATGAATGTCCTTACCAAGGCTCTACTTCTTCTACTCCCACTTCTCCCAAGTTTTTTATAGTCATTTAGACTCTCCATTTTGCTGATGTGTAACAGAGTTTCACCTGAGTAACTGAAATGTTCCCCTATGCTGCTGTGTCTAACTTGAATTTCTCCTACGGGGGATCAATAAAGGTACATCTTATCTTATGTTTGATCATTTTAATAATGAAGCTGTTCCGTTCAATCAGACTGTCGCAGGAGAGTCTGCGTGGCATCCGCAACAACGTGGTGGTGCTTCTCACTGCCCTCCTGCCCCAACTGGACCTGGCTGGCATCAGTCTGGACACCCCCGACGTGGACAACATCCTGCAGCAGATCATAGAGGTCAACTCTCTGAAACTATGATCGTTTACTGTTGGCAGACACAGGTTTTTCCCATATTCTTACACAAAGTTTGAACCAAAATATAAAGTATATTGTAATAATTGTCTTTAAATGCTCTCTTGGAAGGTAATGTGGTTTCTCACATTATTGTTCTATTATTTGTGGTGCTTGCCATGTTTTATATGTCCTTAAGTTAACTGGTTTGCCATCTACATATAACCAACAATGTACAGCTAATTAGAGGAACTCAGTTTGCCTCAAATTACACTGTAGATGAGAGCACATGCTAAGAGAGAGTTTCTGTAGAAATCTGTGAAAAAGTAACAATTTTCATAGTTACTATATTTTGCATTAAACAAAGAAAACTTTAACTTTGTTGGAAAACAACAACAGCGCTGTCTCTGATCTAAAAGAGGTTTGATCCAGGAATTTTAAGTTTTACTGTTCAGAGTTGTAACACACTGGTTATCCAGCTTTCATTGGCTGCACACACAAATTGCTAACTAGTGGCAGTTTTTTGTCACATCTTTTTTAAATACATTGTGTTTGGTGCTCGTCTGTTTAAAGAAACTTTATTGTGCGCCTGCCTGCCTGTATTGCTGACCCTTAAATCTGAAATTGTCTCTGTTTGTTCTGCTTCTGTTTTTATTGACTATTTATGTGGCATCTGAGTGAGTCGTGGAGTAATGCTGGTTTCTAGATTTGTTCACGTATCCTTAATAAACAAGACTTTTTACATTTGCATTAAAATACTGAAACCATATATTGTACTCTGCCTCTTTATTTTCAGATGGTTAAATAACACTGCGCTCTCAATCCAAAATGCACAAATCCTGCAGTACATGTTATCAGCCACAAGATGGCAGTGAAGTCAAATAATGAAAACATCCTTCTCTCACTCTACTAACTCTTGGCCAAGACATCATTTCACTGAATCAAGTAAAGGACATTAAATTCTATTGTTTGTGGAGTGTAATGTGATTTATTATTGTATTCTAGTGTATTAAAACTGCAGTAGGTGACTTATGAAAACTTTTTATCATATTCGGGTCCCTATTTTTAAGCCATCAATAAAAGTTACCTACAGCAGCTTTAACAGCACACCACACAATCAACCACCATCTGTGGAAATGTGTCATATTCAATCATAGTTACCGTTTACTTTGTCCAATATTTGCTTGTGAAGAAGCTGACAGGAGTATGTTTGACTGTCTGTCTCTCTGTAGTAGCCTATAACTATACCAACAAGGGTGCTGCTTTAAAATGAGCCACACTTTATAAAAAGCTTATAAATTGTAATTAATGGCTTTTTAATTGTTTGTTTAATTATTTAAATCATCAGCAGTCACAAAATTTCATTCCACTGCTATGCCGATGACACACAGCTCTATGTAAATGCCACAGCTGCAACCCCACCCTCACAGTCATCCCCATCTAAACTCACCTCCTGTCTGGAGGAGATAAAGGTAAGGATGGAGCACAACTTCCTTCAACTCAACAGCTCCAAAACTGAAGCCATCCTGGTTGGCACCCCTCACCAGACCAAATCATCATCCATACCCAGCATCACCTTTTCTGGCTCCAACATCCCCCTCTCATCAATAGTCACAAATCTTGGTGTTAAAATGGACTCCCAACTCACTTTTGAAGCCCATATAAATCACCTATGCAAGACCTCCTTCTACCACCTCCGTAACATTTCCACACTCCGCCCCATTCTCTCCCTCTCAGATGCCAAAAAGCTGGTTCATGCCTTTGTCTCCTCCAGACTGGACTACTGTAACACACTTCTCATTGGGATTCCTGGCAAGAGTCTGCAGAGGCTTCAGTACATCCAAAACTCTGCAGCTAGGATCCTGATGAGAGTGCGGAAACATGAGCACATTACCCCCATTCTCCACTCACTCCACTGGCTTCCCGTCTCCACCAGGATTGAGTACAAGGTTTCTCTCCTCACACATCAATGCATCCATGGACATGCCCCCCCCTCAAAGAACTTATCAACCAACAAAACACAACAAGCTCCCTCCGCTCCACTCACTCAAACCTCCTCCACATACCCAGAACCAGACTCAGGACCATGGGAGATAGGGCCTTTTGTGCTGCCGCCCCACGTCTGTGGAATGCCCTCCCTGACACCTTGAGGGCACCACAATCCACTGACTGATTTAAAAAGGATCTTAAGACATTTCTTTTTAGCAAAGCTTTTGGTCCCTTTTAGATGTTTTTTTTATTATTATTATTCTTTTCTCCTTTTCTTATTTTTTAAAACTGCTCATCTTTTTTGTTTCTAACCTGTAGCACTTTGAGATATTTTGATGAAAAGGGCATTATAAATAAAATGTATTATTATTATTATTATTATTATTATTATTTATTATTTACTTATGCTTTGTAGATCAGTTATAACCCATTAATAACAACAATTATTTGTTTGGTGTTAACCATGTCTGTTTTGTAATAATGCAGTTATTAAGATTGGCAATCCATCAGTTAAAGGAGCAATGTGTAGGAATTAGTGGCATAGCTGTTTAGTTGCAGATTGCAGCTCCCTCGCTTCACCTTCCAGTTCCAGCTGTGAAGGAGAAACTATGGTGGATGACACAAACAGCCCCATCTAGAGCCAGCATTTGGTTTGTCCATTCTGGGCTATGGCGGACTCCACAGAAGGCGACCTGCAGCCTCTGTAGATATAAAACGCTCATACTAGATAACAAAAACATAAAGGTTCTTATTTTCAAGTAATTACACACTAATGAAAACATATGTACGCATATATTCCATTTCTGCCAATAAATCCTCCTTAATGTCGCACAATGTTAAAAAAAAGTTGTTCATAAAGGGATTTTGGTCCATCTGATCCAGCAGTAACATGCGAACATGGAGTAGGATAAACACCCAGACAGAGGAAGTTTTCACAATCTGGCAACCCAAAATGTAATAATAAAATGTTATTAATGGTTTAACTATCTATGAAGCATTAAAGGATTAAATAACTATATTAAATAAGTTGTGAAGGTATTAGTTACAACAAACAAAAACCTTTTTTACAATGGCTGTCTTTTTAAAAAGTGGAAGGAGGCAGGTATTTATGTGTATTTTATGAGCGTATTATGCAGCAGCAGCAGCAGCATGATGAATCCAAGACAAATGTCTCCCTCTGGGACAATAAACTCTCAGCGCGTGCAATCTCTCACACGCGCAGTAACCACCACGCGCCCCCCCCACCCCCCCACCCACGCGCAACTCCAGCTACCCTGTTACTCGTCCTCTCTCCACCCCACCTCCCTTTATATACCTCAGCCCACAGAAGGAGCAGCAGAGCCGGGCCAGTGTTTGACCCGGGACACGGTGGAGCTGACAGGTGCGATGACAGCGAGACTTCTGCCGCTGCTGCTGCTGTGCTGCTCGGGCAGAGGAGCGGAGCCACCCGCCGCCGCTGTTAGAGAGTATTATATAGCTGCTGTGGAAATCGGCTGGGACTATATCTACCTAGACGATGCTGACCCAGCGGCCGAACAAAGGTGAATATGTGTTTGTTTAACTTAGCCAACACAAATGTAGACCTCTCTGACATTTTCCACAGGCTGGTCTGTTAAATCACTTGTGGGGAAAAAGCTGTCAACAAGGATTATGGCTTCAAATACAAGTTCATGTTTGACGGGAATGGAGGCTATTAAATGAGACATTTTAAATAATAACTTTTTTTTATTTGAAATTAACTATAAGTCAGTAGCATGTTGTATGTAGTCTGTTTACACCATACATATCATTTTGGGGAGTTATTATGGGTAAGATTGATGAGGGGGGTGTTTTTATGTGTTTCATTGTCTGTGTTGTTTGTTTTTTTTTTTTTTTTAGGAGGAGATCCAAAGATATTCCTCAAAAATACATCAAGGCAGTTTACAGGGAGTATATAGACTCCACGTACTCCGTCCCCAAGCCAAGGCCAGCATGGACAGGTAAGTGTCCTTTTTTTAAATTAAATATTTCCATACATAAATTATATCTCATGTCCATTAGTGGTTAATACACATAAGTCAGTGTTTTCAAAAACAAAAATCAGAAACAAAAGAATGACTAGAAAATGTCAAATTAAAGGTTTATATAATATTTTGCTGTTTTACTGTGAAAACAGTGATTTGAAGACCATATTAATATAGTGTTTGACTGACTTATCAACACAAATATTAGTTAATAATAGTTAGATCTGTTTCAGAGCATCTTTAGATGTCTTTGAAATTAGGGGTCATATGCTGTCTATGTCTTCTTGTGGTTGCAGGTATTCAAGGCCCGGTGATTGTGGCCCAGGCTGGCGAAAGGGTGGTGGTCCACTTCAAAAACCTGGCCTCTCAGCCCTACAGTATCAGCCCTGTGGGGATCTCCTACTGGAAACAGTCTGAAGGTACAGAACTTTTTTTTACCTTCTCTCATGCACTCAGCAATTCACACTGAAGATTAGTCAGCAGCATCATGTTTCTTCTTGTTCATTTTTGACTCAGCATTTTGACTCATAATCTCTATAAATTCCATGTTAGAGTGTACATGAGTCATTAAAACATTAAACTGCTACTTTAACAACCTTAAACAGAAATCCAAATATGTTCTAATTCACATGCTGTTCTTTTATTCGGGGCCAGAGAGAGCAGAGAAGACATTTGTGGGAAAAGGCAAGGTTGTTAGTGAATCATATCAGAAGCTAACAGTGTAGTAATAATCATTAATTCTTCAGTTAAGAGATAAAAATGTAAATTGTATCAGAATCATCAGGAAAAAAAGTTGCTCCTTGTTCTTTAGAAATCGCAGCAAGCAACCGTTATCATTATCTTGCGTGTGCAGATATTCTGCAGCGTGTCAGAGCCAAATGGTCAGTCTGGCAGAAGTTCTCGAAGCAAAACACACACAGAATATAATGTGGTTAAAAAATCTTATTTTTGAATTACAATACCCGACTACAAAGGAAATAACTTAATATCCCTCATCTGAGAAGCTTTTGGAGGTTAATACCCTTCGCAGAAGGCATTGGCATATGTCCTAATGCGGCTGTACAAAGCTGTCTGTAAACGGTTCCTCTTCCTGCCACAGGGTTGATTCCTATAAAGGAGTTCATGATAATCTGATAAACTGCACATGTCACGTCCAGGAATGAGCCATCACAAAGCAGTTCTAATCTCACAAACGTATAGTATTAGGGGGGAAGGAAAATATTGCTGCCTGTGGGTGGGTGTGTGTGCACATGTCTGATATCATTGTTGCACATTGTCATGAGTCAGTGCTTCTCCTGAATATGGTTTTACAGCAGCATACAGTACGTTGTGGTCTTACTTTCACCTTTATTGCTGATTTTTATAATTAAAGTGTCGATTTTAAACATTCCCAAAACACATTATGTCACTTTATTTACTTATAGTGTGTCCTGCAGTGTCACTACAGGACTTTTTGTACTTAAGTATAGTATCTTTCAATATAATCACTGTCCTATTTCACATTAGAGCAACTTACATGCATTATTGTGATACCAGTTTTTTCCGCTTTGACTCACCTTTACTGTTGAATAAAGGATGAGGATTCATGCTGTGTCTGTTCTTTCCAGGAGCCGGGTATGATGACTCCACAGCAGGCCAGGAGAAGGAGGATGATGCCGTCTATCCTGGAGGATACTATGAGTACGTGTGGGACATCAGCCCCAAAGACGGTCCCACCAAAAGTGACCCCGACTGTCTCACCTATTCCTATTCATCCCAGGTGGACACAGTCCGAGAC